GTTTTTCATCAGTGCATAGGTTTATTAAAGTTTTGTCTTCTGAAAAAATCTTGGGTTTCATTTCTTACCGAAGAATAGAAACAACGTTTTCAGTGTATTATCTATATTTATATATATACACAAACATATATATATATATAATTTACAGCTAGTGGAATGTAAACAAAACTTCTATAAATAGCACTGATGTCATAGAACACACTTTATACCACGTCATCTTTCTCTAGAAGATTGTGACGTCACGTTTCTAATGTTTAGCTGTGGTAAACCAGGAAAAGAAGTAGCCCACCTCAGACCGACAACATGCAGCAAAGCCTTAAATAAATAAAACTAACAAATATTCCACAAAATCTTGTGAGCAGATATTGATGTGTAATCTTATGGTTGCTTTTGACTTTTGAAAATTTTGAAAATATTGTTAAAAGAAAATTTTAGTAATTAATTAGGTACATTACAAAATTATTATTTATGTAAGTTGTATTTATTATTTATAACCAAACCAAAAACTTGATTTCGAAAGTATTAATCATATTGAATCCTATTAACTGTTATGACCATTGTTTTTGTTTCGGTCCAAATTCTATATCAGATTATACTAATGAATTGATACTAAGTTTCAATATAATTTTCGGTTAGATAGATTTTCATTATCCAGGTATGCTATTCCAATATATAGTAAGCGTCTATTTAACTATCACTAAACAAAATAGTATTTTCTGGAGACAGAAGCAATAATTATGAACAAAAAACGCTCCAAACAGTGAAGTCAATGCATCATATTAAAATGAAATCGGACTCATGACAGGTACTTGCAGACACAATATTGTGTGTCTAAGCTTCTTCACAAGGTTTTAGTTCGGGCCGGTTTCACTGTATGCATAGCAATAACAAGATGGCGGTTGATGAACGAAAAAAAAAGATGTTCTAATAAGTTATGAAGAACATTTAGGCCATGTTTGAATTTAAGTAGGCGTATACTTATATTTATCTGTTTCATCATTTGGTTAATGTTAGTAAGTCTATTTAAAGCATTTTAATTTTCAAAGTTATTTTCTCATTTTCATATGATTATAAATTGATGTATGCACCTGTATTTAAGACGGAGTGGTTTTGTTTCGAAACAAATTAAGTTGTTTTACATCGACTACAATACCTAATGAAACACTTCTTACAATTTGAAAACGGTTTATTAAAATTAAGGTGATAGTAACATATCGTGTGTGAAATATATAAACTTCATAAATCAAAGTCTTGTGTGTTTAAATGAATAACATAATGAGTTTTGGCATCTTTAAAATAGATTCAATTGTCACTAAATAAATTAAATTGACCAACAGGAAGTATATTTTGTTTGCTATACTTGACTTTGCTCCATGTGCCGAGTGATTTAATTGGTTGGACCATGAGCATGCGCAGTGAAACAAAACACTTAAATGTCACATATTTCAGTTGTTGCATAATGAGCGGATATGGGATTCATAGTGTTGTCGTAATACCTCCATTTTGCATACATATATATTCAAATGTCTATTTTTGACAGAAATACATAAATAACTGTAGTGTGTGTTACAAAAAATTGTTGAAGTTATTTTTTTTCAAATTCATTACGAACAAACCTTTGAATTGTGTTATTTTCAAGAACAATTTTGAATTCTAATATTTTCCGCGATCAAACTTTGAATTTCGATTTTCATTCATGAATACACATAGAGCCCCAATTTTTGCAAGAACAAAAATCAATTTTTGAATTTAATATACAAACAACCAATTCCTGGTCAATGTAATACAAAATAGTTATAAAAATGAAGAATATTTTTTTATTAATAAAACTGGTAAAATGTTTGAAATAATGAGAAAGCAGTTTAATGCTTGAACATGCTCGTTCATTATGTACGTGTCAGTTCTCTTGAAAATCTACGTTAGACACTCTAAACTAGAAGAAAAATTGAAAGATTGAAAAAGGGATGCATACAAATACACATATACATATATGTATATATAAACGACATATATATATATACTTATACGTATATTCTTTGAAGATATTTCTGACAGGTAAATTCGAAATGAAACAATATATACAGAACAGCAACACTATAATTCAATAAAGGTGAAACCTGTTTAACATATAAACTTCCGTCTACAATCGCGCATGCGCACTCTCTCTCACAAACAATATGTATTTGTATGATAGACACCAACATTTATTCACACACGCATACCTCATACAAATGTAGTAACGCGCGCCTGTAACAAAACGATCAGGTAGGTGACACCTGGTAATTTTGGCGTTAAGTTCTAAGCACTACATATTTGTGTCAGATTTGTATTAAAAGTAAAAAAAAATCCATTGTGCCTTTAAACGTGTGAAGGAATGACGTTTGAGGGGGGCGTGGTTTATCACGTATGCCCAACCCTCCAATCACGCCCACCTAGCTAATACCCAATCACAACAACACAATTCCCATCAACGGAGCCAATGAGCATGGTGAAGTATAATCATGACACATGATTCACATTGCCTATCATTAGATTTCACAAGATATCGCCCATAAAGCCATCGAAAACTGTCGCAATGAATTATGGGTAATGCCCTGTGACTGTAGACATGTATCTCAATTAAAACTGACAACTTACAATTAACAATCTCTAAAACGATTCTTACTCATAATCTCAGCTCGGGTTCTAGTATCGTCTTGTCTTGTTAAATAAGCTTTTTGCATTATTTTTTTCAATCCCTCTAATATGACGTCAAATATACTAAGGTAGTGTTTGCATCGTATTACCTAATACAGTTTGTTCATAGTTTGATTATATCTATAAGTTTTCTTTCTTTTCCGTTTTGTAAAGAAGAAACATTTCCATATAGCAGCAATTCATTTTTTTGCAACCCGATAGCCGAAAAATAACATCAATATATTCAGCTAAATGTTGAAAAGATTAACTCGATTAACATTTCAAACAAAACAGTATACAATCACACTTTATTGTACACTGAAATTTAGTTCATACATAGCCTCCTAATTGGTTTCTTACACTCTACAAATATTGTGACGTCATAATATTCACAACCAAGCCACGCCTCGTCACCCTGGAAATAACTATTTCCCACAACGTTTATGAAGACACCAGTACACACTCCCCAGGATTCAGTTTTAATGCTGTAGATTTGTTATTATGAAGTAGTTGTCCATTACATAAAAAGTATTACATTGTTTTAAGGAAAATCAAATAAAACTAGACTAGATTTGACCTTATCCAGTGTGATAACGCCAAAAATGACCTTAACATTTACATAAAAGATATAATTGAACTGCTCAGTAAGTTCAAAAATTCATTATGATAAAGATTTTACCCATCGCTAGCTTAAAAAATCCCCCCTTCAGAAAAAAAGAAACCAAACGAATATTGAAATTCTTCGCCTGAAATTTGCTAAAAAGGAAAGCGCGGTATGATACTGTTATGTATTTGTATCACCTTCTACTTAAGTTATACTGCTGCTAAACACAAGACTTTGTCTTAATTTAAAGAAGGTATGTAGAACTGCCGGAAGTTTTGTAATCGATTTCTCAATCACCACATGAACTAGATAGAATTTCCTTGAACATGGTCTGTTTATTCAATGATGTCTACTTAATGATCTTTCATGTTTGTGTATTGTCTTATACGAGATCTCCCACTCTCTTCTCTCAATCATTCCAACTTATGACGTCACCTAACGTGACCAAACAAAATCACACAAGTTTAATGTACATTTTAAGTTACTCGCTGACATAAAATGTGATAACAAGTAAAATGTGTTTTAAATACTATAAATGACGCCCATGACGTCACAAATTCGGTGGTGTTGTCATGGTAACAAGATGGGCGTTTTCATCACAGTTTGCTTCAACACCTCGACCCGAAATATCTACCAACATTATGATATTTTTTTTCAAAATCATAAAATTTCAGATTAATTAACATGCAATTTATAATCAAAACACATTTCAACAAACTACAGGTATAAAAATGATATATAGAACAACATTTCATTGTTAAACGGAAAATATCCCAAAATCAAGTCAACAACATAACTGTTTGAATTGAACATTTTGAGATTTTCCCCGTAAGTGATCCCCACATATTCCAGGTTTATGTTTTATTTAGAAAAAAATCACTTTGTAAATATGTCTCACGCCAAAATCATATCATTCAACACAACAATGCAATAATAACGGTATATTTATAAAGGTTTGCAAATAAATAGATAATTTACTTTTTATTCCTATGGCGTATATTGGCATACACATAAGTAAAGTAAAACACATGATTAAATATAAGGTTTTCTTCTCTTGCAAAACTGTTTAGAAATATAATACAAATAGCAAAATGTTGAGTAATTGTTGAGATTGCGAAACCAAAACCATACAAATCCTGAACAACACTTGCTAAAGGTGGGTGTGAAAATGTTGGAATTTACCGCTAATGAAAACCATGCTTTCAATGGTCAGAGGCCGCGATAAATTCCCAGGTTCCAGTTCTTTGGTAGGTTTTTCTTTTAGGCATTCTACTATGAAAGTTGGACCTGGCAAGAACCCTAGAAGGATCTAAATACCTTCCAGGGTCACACCCGTCTCTCGGCGACCCTCGGTACGCATGCGTAGTCAAACTATACATGCACGTATAGCGATAGGATAAGTTGGACGGTGACTTTTGTTTAGCCCGTAAGTTGTTTAACGACTTCTTCTCATAATGGCCCTTTTCAAACTTCCGGCGTCTGTACATTCACGGCGCTTACACCAATAATGTGTTACAAGCGTTTTTTGTGATTTAGCTCAATGCCACCATCTTTATCTCGCTTACGTTTAAACTTCTGTTTCCAAACACGAATTCCGAACAGAACCGTTCGGAAAGGAATTGGACATCAGCGTTTGGGCCAGTGCTTGTCTTTCGTCTTGCGTTTCGGAGAGCGAATAGTACTGGATTTTCACAAGTTTCAGGAGCCTCGAGGCTTCTAGTCAAACGTTGCTATTGTCGTCACTTATCTGGTTTGCATGCTTTATCAAAGGTTTATTCCGGTAATGATTCCAGAGTTGCAAAATAATTTCTGACACCAACACATCGTTAGCGTTTTTACCCACAAGTCTTAACACGAAAATGCCGTCTTGGCGCAGGTACTGTTCGGCAAATTTCACCGCCATCTTTTTATCAAGTTCTGATTTGTAACAATCATTGATGCGCAGAAATTTCTTTAGATATCGAATACGATGTTGTCTAAAGATCATTGTGTAACACCAAACCAGAAAATTGGCAGAACTTAGCACGGATACAAACACTAGCCAGAACCAGATGAAAATAAAGATTTTTTCGTTAAAAAGATTGATTGGTAGAACACACTGTACAGTATAATCTTGGACTGTTGCCAGTTTTCGAATTCTGAAATCACACAATGTAACTCGAGGAAATCTCGGTGATTCTTTCCAGTCTATACCATTGGCCAGATGATCAAGTACTTCAAGCCCATAGGCATTGTAATTCGTTCCCAGGAACTCATTTAATATAAACAATTGTCCAATAGCGTTAGACATGTACAATAGTTTTATAAACATGTATATTGTGACCAGGTAGTTCCCGTAGCGTTTGCCGCAGACGATACAACAGTACTTTGATATGGTTTGGCGCAAGCGTATAAAACACCCTGATCTATATTCACGTGCATTTTCGAGCCATCTGTCCATATAGCGTACGATATGTTTAATAGTCCTTTCTCTGTCATCTGGTGATATGTATTGTGTTTCTGCGGCGAGAGTCACAATCTTATCGAGATTGACACCAGCCGAGGCCGTCAATATCCGCCATAGTATACATGGCACCTTGAATAAGAATGCCTGGAACAACAGAATCATAGGAACCCACTGATAATAAGTAATTTCCCGCTCTGTGCGAACTGTTCGTTCCTTGGGTATATCGTCATCAATATGTACATAGTACGTATTTGAGATCCAGCAGACATTATTTGTGTAGTCAACCATGGAGTCTTCGAATTCCGCAGGACACCAGCAATGAATCGGCTCGCCCACATACTGCTTTGTGCTGACGACAATAGTGAAGATGATAAAAATGATGGTGGTGTACAAATGGTTTAGACGATCGATCCAGTCATCATCGTATCGACCCTTCAACCGTGCATAGGTGGCGAAGCTCCCCAGAACACTGTCAAGCCTGAAACAACAAGGGAAGTAATAACATGGGAACATCAGTACAATAAACAAAGAAAAATTACGAAACATGCGTTCAATAAAAGCAAGAAAAATCAGACTTTCAGAAACAAAGGCGGGTGAACTAATAAGGTACATGTGCCACATCACTTAATCGCAAGCTACAAAGAAAATATAGCATTTCATCATAATCAGAATTCAGACCGAAAGAAAGAAGAGAGTTCTGAAGAAATGTAAGAGAAAACATGACGAATAACGCTGGGTGTGTTCCGGAGGAAAAAGCGTCCTTTGCTTCGTCGATGACACCCAATATATGTAGATTTATCTTGGCCAAGTAATGTAATGTTTTTTGTCAGAAGCGGATATTTATCAGACCAAATGACGTTAAATAAACTGATATATTTAAATCACGTTATTCTTAGATCTTTCTAACTAAATTATAAAAAAGATATATGTGATTTATGTTGTCATGTATAAATTGAGCTCATTATATTGTTCTTTTAAGCTTGATATAACCTGGGCATTTGTTCGTTGTTTTCAATATTTTTATTTAATTCTTATTTACAGTATCAAACATCCATAGCATCATATTTAGGTTTCAAAATGTCGTATTGACATTACAGCAAAATGATTGAACAACTGTACATTCCTACACAGATCATCTCATAACAAACCAGAGCTTCATAAATCACATTACATATAACATTTCAAATATGACTTCGTATAATTCGACCTAAACTTTTATTGTGTAAACTGCAATCCTAGTCACTTGTAGGTCTGTTTTGCAAGTTTTACCCAAAATTTTCCTATACTCTAGTGTTAGATTGTTAAACCGTCTGAAAGGTACACACAGTATAAGTCCATATCTTGGGCAGTTGGTTTGGCTTAGTTGTGTTACCTTCTGAACACAGGGACACGAAACATTCGTTAAAAGAACACCAGATGTGGCCATGATAACATTACTGAAGTTTCAAAAACAAAGTGCCCTTGAAGAACTATGAACACAGAAAAATTGAAATCTCTATCATTAATGTGCTTGAATTTCAATTTAGTCAGACATGTGGCATATAGTACTGTCATAAAACGTTACCAAATTAATCATCACTATTCAAACGAAATATATTCCGTCAGTATATATATGGTAGGCCAACCTCAAATGACGTAAATGTTGGACTTCACTGATTGGGTACGTTACCAGATACATACAAATGTAGTTCTTCTCTGTACATTATTCAAAGAGGAGTGGAGAGTAGTGGACAGTCCCGATACAAGAAATCATCCTCGATCGATATTGTAAGTTTACGACCGGGAAATACCGGGTGTGATTCTATGAATAATTAAGCCCCGCCTAGCAATGAAATCGGTCGGTTCCTAATATAAATCAGTCAATGTGTGGCTCTGACGGGGTAAATGAATCAGTTCCGCAGATAGCGTTTTAACATTAAATATTTGTTATAGTTTAAATAAGATGTATATGTTTATAAAGAAAAGTATGTTACTCTGTTTCTGTTTGTAAACGTATTTCAGATCGAACTCATAGTCTATTTTCGCAATCATCAAAGTCAATGATTTACTCATACAATTCAGTGTTGGCAGCTATTGAATAAAATCGCAGCACCATAGGTCATAAAAGGTCAAATAAATGTAGAAAAATGATCTCATATGTTATAACAAAAAGCAAACAAGCTTCCTCAATTTAACTGATCTATAAACAATGTATCTCGAATTATTAACAATTTGATTGTATTCCTAAAATATATATATATACACACACCAGTCGGTCATTTAGACTTCACGTCCGTCACAACACACAGTAAATCATTGTATTGATCAAGCGAAAGTGATCGTTCATAGTAAGGACGTCATTTTGCAACCTTGTTCTCAGTTTACCTCAGCTGTCAATAAGCAAGGTGGACCAATGCTTAAGAATGCTTATAAATTTGAATATTAGTGATATTACTTCCGGTTAAATACGGGCCTTTATGTTTCCTTCAGTCAAAGTGTGACGCTGACGGTTCAAATTATTGAGGAAAAAGCAAAACAAAAAACAAAAAACAAAAAAACAAACCCCCCCCCCCCCCGAAAAACATATAAACAAATTGATATTAAAAAAGCGAAACATGATAAATGTTACATCCAATTGACAGAAGCATTAATATTCGGTATCCGATATTGATGTATCAGTCTTCCCTTAAACAGCTATTAAATATCCACCCACGCACAACGACTGCACCTTCCTACATATTGTAGTAGTAATAATTCCCAGCGCTTTGGTCTTTTTAGTTCTTTTTGAAGACCATCTATTGCATTTGATAGTGACGAGTGTTTAATTAACCCCTATCTGTTGGCACTCCTTGGTCTTGTGGCTCATGCATTCATCAAATGACTTTTTCAGATCAATTCAACGCCATAAAACATGTACCAATACCATAGTCATGTGTTTTCTTACGCCTCTGTGTTCGGATCTGTTAACATTGGTATCGAGAAAATTCAAATCTCCTTTGTCCGGCCGATGATTCAGGCATGTTTAAGTACCAGTTATTGAATAGAGGGTTGATCGTGGTCCAATATTTCCTATATGAACACCATGCATGCTAGCACTTGTAATTTCAGAGGACTTGTGTAATGGATATATTCGTTTAAAAATGTAGCTTTAAAGAGAGGACACATGAAGTTTTTAGCTTTGATAAATTTACGAGATAAATAATACAAAATACGTTAAAACCCCTTTTTTATTTGAAATTCATAAAGCTTCAGTGTTTTAATTCGAACAAGTCTGAACTAAAGACGAAGTTATATGTTATATAATTAAAGAGATAAAATATTAGTTTTATTTATTAAAACAAAAACTGTAAATAACCCTAAGTAACAAATAAATGACATTTTGTTTGAAAGAAGTGAAAATCTTCACTGCAATCTTGTACAAAAGCACACAAGTGAACTTCACCTTTTAATACAAAAGGGTCCAACAATGAACTAATTTGCATCATACAGCTGTTTTGTCATACTAGAACTCGTCAGTGATGATAAGGGTATTAATTTCAAAGTAATAGAGAGAAAAGTATAAATTTAGATGGAAAGGTACACTAGCACCATAATGTTGAAACACACGTCGCAGACATTCGAATGTAACGTTGTTTTTGGTAATAGTTGTTGTAATTTGCTGGTCACGTGATTGTTTCTGTGATATTTATGATTTACTGTTTCCTTCGCTTGATTAATGTTAACTGTCGATTCCATGACATGCAAAACAAATCAACACATAACGATATATTACACTATAAGACTGTCTCAGGTGTCGGGATGTAGGACAAAGACATTCCATCCGAAAAGTCACAGACTAACGTAGAACTGACATAGGAAATTAATTGTCCATACTTAGAAAAAGTTTGCCTTAGAAAATAATAACATAATATAAACAGTCACTGCAAATAACAATTTGTACCCATTTGTGTGTACACATGTATCATGCGTTGACGTCAATTGGGATAGGAGACGTCACATTTCTACGCGCGTGCCTGTATAGCATGGGTGGGTGTGTAATACAAGAACAGAGAAGTAGTATTAAACAGATCGTAATGAGAGAAATGTGATCAGTATCAGCTCTCAGCAAGGCCTTGACGGAAACACCCTTGACCAGAACAATAGTGATATGCTTGCAGCAAATGTAACGTTAATTTCAGCGGAACGTTTTCCCTTACATGTTATATATATAGCATATATTAATATATATATATCAAATGTAAACAGCAGTGTCGTCGAAGTAAATATCTCGAACTCATTTAAGTCGAACAGCCCCTTTAATTTCGTCAGCACTCGTTAAACCTCACACCAAACATTAAAAAAATGAACATTCGGTTATCTCGAATTTCTCCTATGGTCCTACCGACTTCGGGGTAGCGAGGTTTGACTGCATCTAAAGATTTTTTTATTTGTTTAATAAATACATAACTTTAAAATCAACACTTAATCCGGAAAATTGTAAAAAAAATATGTTTTCACCTTTGATAAAGAAGATTTAAAATAGAGCAAAAGAGTGGGAAAAAATGTCCTGAAGTTGAACTTGTTCGTGTTGTCATAATGAGATAACATTTTGCTTGATGCTTTTAGGCAAGTTGCGAAAACTATATTTACTTCAAGAAGCAACATGATATTTGAAACAAAAGCTTTCAGGGAAATTGTTACATAGCGTTGCGTGTGTTCGTTGTTCACGTAGTGATATGGTTTAGATTTTAACACCATCTTATAGATTTTAACCTTAAAAGGTTCCATGTATATGTACTTTATGAGTGCATGATAACTTTTCGGCCTTTACCATTCGTCACTGAGAGAAAAGGGTTTGGGAGTTGCCTATTGCCAAGCCAAACCAAATCTTAAAGATAGTACTATTGCTATTATAAGCTCATTTTTAACGCTCGGCAAGCTGGCAGTGTAACGACTGGTTTGCCCGTTATTAGTGTCACGTGACATGCAGTATACTTCAGTGTGGTAACACTATAAAGTTCCCAAATGCACTTGCATGCAACACAGACACCATCCCTCTAGGAGCCGACCCATAATTGAATTTTCTGTTTATATCATGTATCTTTTAAAATTAAGACCCTAGCATACTTACTTGTTATAGAAAAACGAGACATATGTATGATAAAGCTTAATTCAAAATTTGGTTCTACTTGTTTTGCAATTTTTAATAAAGGAATAACAATTTATTTACATAATCATGTGTATGTGTTTGTTATTAGAATAAATTGACATTATAAAATGCAGCTGTACAGAATCAATAATCTAGATTACCACAATCTATACATTATGCTATGACGTATCTTTATAAGATATCACCTACTTATTGTATGACATTGTATCACACGTTAAGCAGTGCCTTCTACCAACCTGCCTGTTTTATAGCGGGCTTCTGCCTCGCTGTTAAGAATTCTCTGACTAGGTCTGGCATCAGGGTAGCTCGCCTATACAATTTTATATTGAATTTTGATGAACATGCGTGTA